TCTGTGGATAAGACTGTTCATGAATTTGGAGTGTTAACCTTATCTGGCTGCCAAGTATCCAGCAAGTTTCTCTCTCATTTGAGCTCCTCAACAGGACAGAGGGAGGAAATAAATGAAGAAACTTGTTAGTCGAGATAACAAGAGGGAGATCCCTCACCAGTTATTGTCATGAGCAAAGCACCCTCACCAGTTATTGTCATGGGCTGACCTTGGGAAAGACTCATTTATTGCCAATTAAAAGTAGAATAGAGAAAAACTAAAGCCACCTTCATCTCATTTCCACTGCTTCCCAGGGTCAATTTGACTCCTTCGTTCCAGATTCTTCGTTTCCTGATTCATGGTGACTCGGGGGACGTGGTCAGTTCATGTCTGCTGTTCTTTCCTCTTCATGCTCTTCCCCTGCTCCTGGGTGGGGTCCCTCCCATGGGATATAGGCCTTCGTGAAACTTCTTCAACTCTGGTCCTTCCCACAAGCTACAGTTCCTCAAGAACTATCCCAGTGTGGGAAATCTCCATAGGGTACAGTCCTTCTGGAACAAACTGCCCACGGGGTCACAGGTGCTGCCATAAATCCTGCTTCTACATGGGCTCCTCTCCACGAGATGCTGACAGGACCCTGTTCCTTTGTGTGCTCTCCATGGACTGCAGCTTCCACCGGGGCACATCCACCTCCATGGGGTACCCAAGGATTGCAGAGCAGATATTTCCTCCACCATGGTTCTCCATGGGGTGCAGGGGGACAACCTGCATTGGGATGATCTTCAGTATTGGGGAATCTCCCATCTGGTCCCTGGAGCACTCCCTCCCTCTCTTCTGTCAATCTCTGATTCTTATCTGAGCATCTCAGTGAAGCTGAGGCAAGCCCAGAAAATGGTAGATGAAATGATAAAGGGAATGAAGCCTTACAGAGACAGATGCCTTAAAAAGAGAAACTATAAGGCCTGGAATCCTTCACTTTATGAAGGACAAGGCAGATAATGGAAATGATTCAACATTACAACCCCGTGAAGATGGTGGATAAGCTGAATGTAACAAATCCCACAACGTTAGAGCTGGGGACACTCAATAAAAAAAGGTAAACTAGGTAAAACAAAGTACTTTTTTATACGATGGATAGTGAAATTCTGCAGTTCGTTGCCACAGAATAGAGGCAGACAGGATTAGAAGTTCAAACTGAAATTAAATAAATTGATGGACAGCAGCTCCATAAATAGATACTAAAAAGATTAGGCAGACCCTCCAGCATCCTTAATACATCATGTTCAGAGAATTCAAGGGGAATGAATGACAAAAAGTAGCCAGACATGTTTGCTTTTCCTAAATATCATTTTCTATTGCCCCTGTCACAGAGAATATAGGATTGGACAGAATATTGATATGAGCCACAAGATGCTCTTGGGTGCATCTGCATTGGCACTGCATCACTCAAGCACCTGGCACTGTACCTCTCAGTCAAAAAATATGGGTTGAAGTTTACCCTTTTAAGCAACTTCTGAGTGCTAAAAGGTCAGAAACTTTTTAAAAAAATTGGGAATGTAGTTTGAGGCAGGAAGGTATAATTACAGGAGGAGACCAGGAATATTTTAAGTTGTGATAGGAAAACGGAAAGAATCACTGCCTGATGTTCATCTCTTTGAGCCTAGAAGAAAAAATTTGGCCAGAAAAACAGGAAAAGGGAAACTGATGTAGCCAGAAAAACAAGGGTTTTTTTCTAGATGAGGAAACAATGGTTTGTCAGCACTAGACAGAGGAGGACAGCATTGCTCCCCAAGCCAGTTCCAGTCTAGAGTGTCCATGCAGAGCAGGGAAGTCTGGACAGACACCCATATGGCTATTAAGTTTCTGCTGTTAACTTGTTTCTCTCTAGCAGACTAATTAGTGCTTTAATTAAAGCCAGTTCAAACAGACCCTGACAATGCTAGGGCTTCTAAACTGCAGTTTTTCAACCAGTGAACAGATAGTCTTAAAAATGTAGGGAAAACCAAAAAGAAATCCAAGGCAATGTAGAGCAGAACTGTGAAGGGACGTCACATCTCTGACACAACTCCACTGCTAGAAACACTTGTCCATGTCCACTTTCTCTGAGTTACCCTGTTTTTTCCAGATCTGGGAACAGTAAGAGTATGGGAATCATCTTTTTTTTCTTTTTTTTTGGGCAATCCCAAGCTTTTCTTTCCTCACTTTCACCTAAGCTTTTTAAATGTAAAATAAAATAAAATAAAAAACCACAAACAAACAAACGCCCCCCCAAAAAAACCCAAAAACAAAACAAAAAAACCAACAAACAAAAAGTTTCTGGCAGAAGTAATATCTCATTTTCACATGGACTATGTATTTCAGCATTATAAGCAAACACATACAGTTTTGGCAACTGTATCCAAAAGTTTGGATATTATGACAACTACTCACCTTTATAACTTTGTGTGTAAAGCCCCAAATATCTCTTCTCTAAATTAGGCAATATGTGCCTGTCAGAACTCTTTATGTCATGGGCTATGAAGGTCTAATTCCAGAATGAGTTCTTAGTAAAATCTCTTTGAACACAGTGTTTTAGACTGATCAAGAAGTCCACTTTGCCCAACAGACAGTGCTTTTAAGCAAAGGTATAAATTTCTAATATACAGAATTCTAAAATAATTCCAGTTTTACTGACTTCTGGACATGACTGAACCAACCCTCTACCAAAAGCCTGGTTAAGTTCATACAACAGATCACTCAGGGTCTCATGAGCTCGCTTTTGAAAATCTCCAAGGAAAACGGCATCCCAACCTTCTGGGCCCCTGTTCCAACACTTGACTATGTATTTGGTGCAGAATTTTTCCTTTATATCAAGCAGAAATTTCTCCTGTGACCACTTGTGTTCATTATCTCCAGTTCTTTCTCAGTACAGCCCTGAGGAGTCTGGGTCCATCCTCTCTGTCTTAGAATCACAGAATGGTTTGGGTTGGAGGAGACCTTTAAGTTCATCTGGTTCTGACCCCCTGCCATGGGCAGGGACACCTTCAGCTAGACCAGATTGCTCCAAGTCCTGTCCAACCTGGCCTTGAACACTTCCAGGGATGGTGCAGCCACAGCTTCTATGGGCAACCTGTTCCTTAATACTTCCTAATATTATATTATTAATTCCTAATTTCCTAATATTATATTACAAATATGTCCAAGGGGGTGGCTACACATAAAGCTGAAACCCTGGAGGCCTTGCTTTCAGTCTGGTGTGGTAACTGCTCAGTCCAGTGCCCTTTCATTTACCAGTTCGACTAAATAAATTCACTTAGGAGCAAAACCATTCCTGTTCTCCTCCAAGCACAGCTCAGCTCATCCTTTGAGTCAAAGCAGAACAGATGTTTCCAAGCGTGAATTAACAGAAACCATTGCATATCAGGAGCATGAATTCCCTGAACTTCAGCCTCAAACAGAGGAGAGGAAAATGTGTGTCAAAGTGAGAATGAGCCTGGACATACACTGCATACTCCAGCACCTTTTTTTTTCCATTTTTCTTGGTTTTTGGTTTGTTTTTTTTTTTATTTCTTATCAGTTGCAGGAACATGAAAGTGAATTGCTGTGTTTGTTCAAATGGCACGGAATCTAAAAGCAATTTGTGGTGACAAGGTCACAAGAGGCAAGCGGAGGCCTTTTATAACTCTGCAGAGAGCTGGGGAGTATATCTATATTGTATATACACAGAGAGAAATACAAAATATTTTACTGTTAATGATACAACCACAGAAAAAGAAATGGATTCAGCTCTACAGAGGGTGGTGTGTGAAATAATACTGAATTTTCTAGGCAACTTAACTATTTCCAGACTTTTTAAATGGGGGCAAAAGCAGAAGAGGAAAAACATGGATTCCTCCCTTCCAAGGGGGGTCTAGATTGGATATTAGGAAAAATTTCTCCACCACCAAAAGCGTGGTCAGGTATTGGAAGAGGTTGCCCAGGGAAGTGGTGGAGTCATCATCCCTGGAGGGATTTAAAAGGCATGTAAATGTGGCACTTTGGGACATGGTTTAGTGGTGGACCTGGCAGTGTTGCATTAATGGTTGGTCTCATGATCTCAGAGGTGTTTTCCAACACTGATGATTCCAGGGTTCTGTAAGAGCAGAACAAGAACAAGATGCATGAGAAGGGTTTTATGCTTGATTGAATCATAAATTCTAAATCAAAGAGAAGAAATACAGAAGGATTAGCCACAAACATTTTAGGCTTTTTAATACTTAATTAAAAGATGCCAGATTTGAGTTTGGATGTTAATAATAACAATTTGCCTACACATTTATTCACTGCTAAAAAAAAGTGGCCCAAAGTCTATTGAGATCTACAGGGTAGTTCATAATTATTTTTTAGGGATTTTTTTGGTCAGACACCTGTTTAGGTTAAAAACATATTGCACAAGCAGGATAAACTGCTGGAGTTGAACTGGGCCAGAGGGGAAACCTGGAGGAATGACACTAAGATGGTGTCTTAACTCTGAAATGTCCCCCTCACACAGCAGAAACCAGACTCCAACGAATGTTTTCTTTAGCAAAGCACTCCACAGATTCCAGGCCAAAAATTATTTTGCTTCAGGAAGATGAAACTCTCAGTAAATGAAACAACTTTTGAACACATCATTCCAATACATACAGGTATCATGAGCCTGAATTTTCCAGTATTCCCCTTTCCTCAGGAGAACTGCTCCCCATGTAGTGACCATTAGCCCATTTATGGTTAACAGTCAACAATTAAAATTCTAATCTTCCCAAGGGATGCTCACTAGTAGTTGCAGCTTGTCTCTGAGTTATTTATAAAGGTGATTCTAGACAAAAATCAGACTCTTTGGAACCATGTTGATTGTGTTGTTAATTTGTCCTTCATATGTAAATTGTATGGAAGATTGGGCTATATCTGAGGTTTTATTTTAAACCTACACCCTGTGAGCAGAGCTGTGTCCTGGGCTGGGTCTAACTCTTCTGGTTTGTAGCAACATATGCTCTTAAACTATTCTTATCACCTTCTTCTAGAAATCGCTGCAGACTCCAAACCCAGCTGAAAATTTATGCTGAAATCCAACACAATCTGGATCACATCTTGTGATGAGAGATTAAATTCCTTTCTCTGGATGGGAAAACTCCCCGCATCAAAGGAAGGTGGTACAGGGGAAAGAAAACTAAAGAGACAAGTAAAAAATAGAATAGAAAAAAACCAAATCCCCAATTCTGTGATTGTGACATGCTGAGAATGAATATCCCAAAACACCAGAGATGCTGTTTTTTGTATATTCTCTGGAGACTGTCAGGAACAAATACCATAGTCACCTACTTCCATCTATTAGGGGTAATAAAGCACAGAGATCCACTTTGGGGTTCAGACACCCACTCTGGAGCGTGGGAAGGTGTTAATAGTAATGCAGAGAGACCAGACATGTTCAGAAAAGTTTGGACCCCATATGTGGTACAGAGAGGAGAACTTCAGTAGGTGTAAATCAGCAGAGCACGACTGAAACCTCCACCAGCTCCAAGTCTGCCCCAGTGGTTCCATTTGTCATCCATTAACACAAATTGGCAGGTTTGAAGGCTTTGTTTTGAAGCTGTGTCATAAAGAGCAGGTAGTGATTTTATGTGACGCTTTGCAATTATTGACTAATTTGAGGTGCAAAAAGGCTTTTAGAGCAGATATGAGCGCCACTGTTTTGCACACAGCTTTCCTAATTTCAAAGTTTGGAAAGGCACTAAGGCTTCAGCATATTGGAAGTTTATTTTTAAAAGTGTCTCAGAGTATATGATTCCTCCTCCTCAGAACAGGATGAATTAAATGAAGAACCTGCTGGGGATCCATCATTAGAATGTCTTACAGGGAACAGTCAGTGCAGTACGTCATTGATCCCTAATGCTGCAATATTTGCATTAGCAAAATGTTCCAACGCAGGGTGGGAGAGCTTTCAGATATCGAGGAGCTTGAGTACTTGGTTCACTGAAAAAAACATATAATGATGTCTATTAAATGAATTAAAATTTAGATGTTTATCATCTATTCTTCTTCACTGGTCATAGACTAACAGATAAGAACAGTGGCTTTAAGATTAAGGAGGACAGGTTTAGATGAGATATTAGGAAGAAATTCTTTGCTGTGAAGGTGGTGGAGCACTGGAACAGGTTGCCCAGAGAAGTTATGGCTGCCCCATCCCCAGAAGTGTTGAAGGCCAGGTGGAATGGGGCTCTGAGCAACCTGGGATAGTGGAAGGTGTCCCTGTCCATGGCAGGAGGGTGGAACTGGATGGTCTTTAATGTCCGTTCCAACCCAAACCATTCTGTGAGTCTATGAAACGATAAGAAATTATTAACGGGTAAGTTCACTAAAAATAGAGCAGCCCTTCTCTGGAACAGAAAGGTTGGGATTTTATTAGTTCCTATTTGTTAAGGTCCTGGCCTGTTCAGGAATTGAATCAACTCAATCCTATTTGGAAAACCCTAAAATAAAACAGAAATCATTTCTCAGAAGTGGGTCCTGCTGTAAAGCTCAACTGTCCTGATACCAGACACAGCAACCCTGCTGACATTTCACAGTTACTATTCAGTATCTTACATACCCTCTCTTTAGCAAATTTGTTGTCTTTTTGGGAGAATCCCAGCATCACAGACTTTGCCAATGCCAAGGTATTTAAGGGTAGAGTTATGGGATCACAGAATGGTTTGGTTGGAATGGACCTTACAGATCATCTCATTCCACCCCCTGCCATGGGCAGGGACACCCTCCACTAGACCAGGTTGCTCAGAGCCCCATCCAACCTGGCCTTCAACACTTGCAGGGATGTGGTGGCCACAACTTCTCTGGGCAACATGTTCTAGGACCTTATCATTCTCAACCTAAAAAATTCTTCTTCATCTCCAATTTAATTCTATCCTCTTTCAGCTTAAAACTATTGTCCCCTGCTCTGCTGCCTAAGGCCTGGTAAAAAATCTCAGTTTTTCTCACAAGCCCTCACAATACAACTTTTCACAATACATTTCTTACCTACCAGGATTATGTACTCAAGAACATTTGGGTTTTGTGTTTTTCAGGTTGTCCAGCACACAGTATGAAGAAGGAAAAGCAGTTTCTATAATCTTTTTCAAGACAGATTTCTCTCTCAAGACAGCAGATGGTCACTTCCCTCTGGTGCTGATACTGCTTTTAACTAATTTTTTTCAGCTGTGCTCACACATATATTAAAAAGACACAAAATACAGACAAGTTGCTCAAAGATCAGAGATGCTGCCATGCTGCATCTGAACTTGGATAAGTGGTTATCAGCTTCACTCCAGCCAGTTGAGCCTCAATAAACAGTTAGATTGGATATTAGGAAAAATTTTGTTCTTGAAAGGGTGGCCAAGAATTGGAACAGGTTGCCCAGGGAAGTGATGGAATCACTGTCCCTGGAAGTGTTCAAAAAATATTTGGGTGTGGTGCTTAGGGACACAGGTTAGTGATGGACCTGGCAGTGCTGGGTTAATGTTTGGACTCAATGATCTTAAAGATCTTTTCCAATGTAAATTATTCTCTGATTCAATAATTTTAATTACTGGGGTTTCTGAGCTGGGCCTTTTTGACAGAACTGGACAGAGAGTGACTCCATGGAAAGTTACACGGGCAGGGCTGAAGGTGCAATAAATCCTTGCAGAGAAGGATATTAAGAAGGATGGTGTTAAGAAAGTGGTATAGAAGGAGGGATACAACCTTTTACCCAGGCTCAGCCAGGACAGTATCGGTCCTGGATCAGTCCATCATAGTCTACACTCCATTTTTGGTGCAGCAGCCATGTAGCAGCACTCACTGTCCACCATCTCCCCATTGAATTGGACATCTCAGAGTGAAGGGGACATCTCAAGTTTTGGTGTCTCTACAACTCCTCTTCTATTCTAGGACAGCTGAAGTCCAGCAGCCCGTGAAAGCCACAGAAATCAACACCCAGAGCTGTCAGATACGATGGAAAGTCTGATCTCACTGCTCTTAATAGCTGTGCAAATTTCTACACCTAAATCTTGGTCTCTTTTCTACGTCCCATGGAACAAAACAGGCCTGTTGAGAGTTCTAATCGGATCTATTTCATATATCTATTTTAAGATGAGATGAAACATGTCTTAGACTTCACTTGGTTGACTCACTCTCCATTAACTTTTAAGAAATCTTTGGAAGGACATAGTTCAGATATAACCACCTACACTGGAAATATCTACATTTCAGTAAATGTCTCCTCCATCTGGTTATGAAATCGATAAGAACTAGTCACTATATAATGAAACCTCTTTCACAGGTATTATGACTTGTTTTCAGTTCTGCCTGCATCACAGACCTGGATCAGGCAAACTAAGAGTATTCTTTCACAGGACTCACTTTCTCCCTGGCCTGGAGAAACAGAACAATCTTTGGTCTGCACCCTCATCCTTCACACAACCTTTGTGTGCCTTTCATATGTCTGCAGTCTTATACCACCTTTCCTTTCAGTCACGTATTTTCCAGGTTAAAGATGCCTAATCTTCTCGATTATTCCTCAGATCCAAATTGTTTCTGAGGTTTTATCATCTTGTTGCTCTACTCTGGACCTTTCCTTACACACAATTCTTTCTAAAATCATTAGTCTGCTCCCTTTATTCTGGTTTTTGGAGACTCTTTTGAAGCATCTACTTGCCCACAGCCCATGAGGTAATTTTACAGGGAGTAGAAAGTGGCAAAAAGCCAATCTACATCATGGATTTTGTCACACAAACAGAAATGTGGTTGGAGAACATAATACGTGGATGCATGTATCTGTACTTGCATTATTTCAGTAGCTTTGTTACCTCGTGAGATTGTACCCAGTCAATACAGGCTCCCAGTCAGAGACAGGGATGATAAATTGGAGAGCCATTTCAGGAACAGCTTGTTTGTGAGAGTTTGTCCCTGAATATTCCCTTCCTGATGATCAGGTTAATGGCTTTGGAATGGAGGTTTTTGCTACAATAACAGGAGAATTTAGAGGAGGTATTTAATAAAAATAGATCCATGGCATCAAGCTTTCATCACTGATTCTTCACTAGGCACAGATTCTGGGATGACAGGCTCCAAAGATGTTGAACTTCTTGCATGAGAAAAGCAAAAGAGCAGATTAAAGGAAAAATATCAGGGTATGAGATCATTTACACATCCCTGATGTTTGTATGAGAAGAACCAGTGAAACTGGGGAGGACTTGTTGTGATTGAAAAAAGGATCAGCACATGCCCAGGAGGAGATCTTCATGGGAAATGACAAAAAGGGTGCAGAGGGAGGCAGGCTATCCAATGACATCTTTGGATCCAGGGATCAATGGGAGTCAGAGCAGGTTCCCGCTGACAGCTGAAATTACAAGTTCAGTTCATTACTCAGTGTGAGACCAGAGCTCTCAAACCAGCCTTCTCCCCACAGGCATCATGAAATGAGAAAGGCAAGAAGCTGCAGCTTCTCCGAAATTAGTGAGTTACATTTTAAAAGTTTTCCTGCTTTGCTACAAACTTTGTGAACACAAACATTGATGAGGAAAAAAAAAATAGAAACAAAAAAAGAAGTAGTGGGTGGTGTTTAATATGAAAACAAAGGGATGTGGCTTCCCACTGCATCCTCTCTTCCCTTTCAACCTTGTGCTCACCATTCCATCTCAGCACCAAACCTGTCCCACACGCCCTGCTAGAAGACAGAAAGCCACCCTGAGAGGCAGTTGACTCTGTTGGAAGATCTACAGACTCCCAGGAAACATAGTTCATTCTGCTGGAAGACAGATAACACTCCAGAGGAGGTAGTTGCTGAGAAAAGATTGCACCACACATGAATCTGTGGCCTAAGGGTGTTTCCTGGCAGACTGAAGTGGGGAGAAACTTTATCCTGAGCCAGAATTGACGATGTGGACATTGTTCCCAGGTCAAAAAAGCAGATCAATGAACAGTGCAGAGCCAAAGAAAGAGAAAGACAGTGTGGGATATTGGATGTGGATTAGGGAGATATTTGGGAATTTTTTATAACTTCTTGTGTGCTGGCAGACCCAAGTGTTTCTGTAACTAAAGGCGTGAGCAGTCACACACTGTGAAGGGTTGCTCTGGCAAGCAAGGAGGAGGCAAAGACTCACCTACCTGGTTCCTCCTCACTGAATAGACCTTGTGTAGATTCCTACTCCATTCATTTCCACTGAGCAGCTTCCCAGAGCTATTCCTGACTTAACCTTCCTAGATTACTTGTGGGTATGGAGGAGGAGAGCAGTGGGGAGGGTGTCATTAATGTCACACTTATAAATAGACAACACTGTTCTGTCACAGTGAGCCTGAGACGCTGATACTTTGATTTTCCAGAGTTTTTATCAGCCTGGTAAACTCAAAGACAAATTCCAGTTATTTCAGTCGTAGCAGGGATCTTGTGGAAGAAATTGCAAAGCCATCTGATTACAGAAAAGACCTTAAGGCATATCTGAGCTCCCAGCACAACTAGAGACCTACTGATACATGTCCATGGGCTGGATCTGACACCCATTCCTGCTGGTGGCAAAGGAATGGTAGTTGAGGACACCTGTATCCAGTGCCAGGCGGGTGATGTCCCAAAACGTTCTCATATGATAAGATTTTCCTACCCCAGTACCTAAATTATTTCTACCCCCTTACACACATCCTATTCTCTCCTTTCTCTCAGCCTTTGCTGTACCTTTTTTTCTTTTTTTTAACCAATCCCTTCACAGTTCTATTTTTCCCACTCATGTCTTTTCCTCCTCTTTTCAAGAGCTGAGTACCATCAAACTATTGGACAAGCCACTGGAAAAATAGTCCTTTCTGGTTTACTAGGAATTTACTAGTAGGAATTATGTGAAAAGGGCACCTCAGACCTCATTGATTCCTGAGGGAATTGAGGGGACTTACTGACTCAGTGGAAATGGAGCACCTGGCAGATTCCTTCTGCTCATGGGGAGCTAAGAAATTGTCTGAACATAATTAATTTTCAGTGGAATTTCAGGTAAAAGTTACATATCTGAAACCAGCAAGACTCCTGCCAAATTCCACACCCCTACAGAGACTGCAAGAACCTGTTAGTGGTGAAACAAAGCTTTATTTTTCTTTTAATGTTGAAAAAATAATGCATTTTCCCGTTACCTCCCTGATGAAAATTGTTATCATTTTCAGAGGTGAAAATCTGAAAAGGTAATCAAATAAGATGAAACTTTTCATCTTGAGGCAGAGACCTGGAGGAGAAAAACAGCAACCAAACAAAAACAAACCAACAAACCCCAAACAAAGCAAAACAAAATCCCAAAATGTTCACACTAAGCATAGAAAGCTTAAAAAGACACTAAGAATCTCAAATGCAGTACATGTTGTAAAGTATTTAATTTCCTTAATCATGTTTCCTATAAATTGATCCATTAGACTTCTCTCAAATGTCTGCAGCATACACTGTTTTCTCTAATTACCCTTCCCAATAAGTACTTAAAATACATGAAATTTTCAGTTACCCAAATATTTAAAGCAAAAATACGGTCCTTGTTTCTCAAAACTTAGGAAAAAAACGCCCCAGTGGAATATATATGAGCTCTGACTGAATTATGGAGTAACCTGGAACCAAGCACAGAGCTCTTTGAAGCAATCTGACACTTTGTTCAGGATACCTGTCAAATTCCTGGAGGAAAATGTATTTATGGGAAAGGAAATCAGAAAACTTCCTTTAGGAATTAAGACTCTGGAATTAATAGAGGTCAGTAATGTATCTTTGGTTTCATTTACTTAGCAAGGAGTAACAGCTTCTATTTCATTCCAACACAGCAGGGTCATTAATAGCATCTTTTTAACTCTACTTAGATTCCTTTTTGTTTGTTGTGGCACCCCAGGGATTCCTGGTTACTTTCAAAATGATTTTGACTAATTGCATTAGGCCCCATGTTGGAATCTTAAATATACTGTAAATAGCTGGAGTTTTCCTGTCAGAGTGTAACACACCACAGCTTTCAGACCTTATCTAACGACACTTGGTTGTTGATGTTTCATTAATAGCAGCAACTGCAACAGTAATTGGTTGGTTCATCAGGATTTCAGGGGAGATGCCTGGTGTCTGAGAGCTCTGCCCTCATCACTGGGCTGATGCCAACACTGTCAGTGGACATATTCCCACCCTCAAACCTCGATCCACACCCTTGCTGGTGCTGCCAGTGCCCAGGCACAGAGGACAGGTGTGTGTAAAGAGCTTCCAACCCTCCTCACAACCCTGTTCAGCCTCTCACTGATGCACCCCAGATGGGTCATCACAAGGTTGTTTTGCCATCCACCTCTCCCAGAAGAAAGTG